GGGAACCGCCACAGCTTCTCCGTGGCCGGTTGGATATTGGGGACTTGGCGCGCCGCTATAATCAGATGAAGATGATGTACGATTTAATATCTCTCCCTCTCGTTGTATTCTGGTTGCGTTAGAAGAAAAATATTCGTTGAATTAAAATAATTCCAATATTGTTCCGCGTGTATTAAAATGAATGGCCAAACTTGATTTCTAAAGGTTGATTAAAAAGAATGTTTTTTGCATAAGAGAATAGTAGATCAAATGATAATTACCTATGAAGCCTGTTGACACTGAGATCAAGGGTTTGTCCTTGAGGACTGGGAACCTGAGGACTTGCAGTCAAGTGTGGGCTCGCTGCAGCCTGGGGACTACCACCTACTGTTTGGCCACCGCCATATTGAGGGCTGAGACTGTTGGAACCATACGGTGGAGCCTGTAATAATTATCATCATGTTTTTTAAAAATTTGTACAGTTCTACCTTGGTTTCTTGAAAATCTGTATGTAAATATTTACCTGTGGACTCGTCGAAGTGACGCTGGAGGTTGACAAATCCATTACCGAACCACCTGGGGAGGTTGGGGGGCCACCAGGTTTCTGCATTTGCTGAACTTGCGCCACTGTGACACATTTCACTGTAAGTATAAGATCATTATGAAAAATTGTATGATTGTAAACATTTTCAAATTTCCAACTAAAACGATCTTGTGATTTACACGTCCGACATTTCTATAAATTACGAGATCCAAATTATATATCACTTCAGACTGCAAATTTATCATTATTCAGGAAAAAATTTAACAAAATTAACTTGTATTCAAACAAAAATGGCTCATGTTCTTATAATAATAATAAAGAAATTCACCATCTTCGGTCTTCATCATCCCAGCAGCCGTAGCAGCAGCCATCGCCATCTGATGTTGCTGTGCTGCAGCCGCAGCTTCCTGATGATACACCCTTTCTTGCTCCTCAGGCGTCATTCCAGTCTGTCCCAGATAATACATATTCGTCCTGGAATGCAACTGTTGCTGCTGTTGTTGCTGCTGTTGTTGTTGTTGTTGCTGTTGCTGCTGCTGTGACTGAATCGGTGCGCAACTTTGTGTATCATATCTTTCATAAGCGGATGTGGTGCCAGGGTCATACGGTCGATGATTCGCAGCACTGGCTACTGCGTTCTCATATCCCCTCCCGGTTGCGATCTCGTTGGAATAAGTGACAACTGGTCGCGCTATATTGCTCGCTCCAGGATGCATGTAGGCTCTCGCGTGCTCTGCCGATCTGTGATGATAAAGTTCCTCGCTGGTGGTGGCCGCAGCAGCAGCTGCCGCC